CATCATTTTTGAAAGATCGATGACCCCTAGCATGCAAGCACCAAAACGAAGGAAGTTAAAAAACGAAGGGTCACCGATACAATGTGGTCTGCACCAAAAATGCGCACACCATATGTTTATAGGTGCTGACCTGTTGTCTGTGATCCAGGGTGACATTGACAAGTGCTGACCTGTTGTCTGTGATCCAGGGTGACATTGACAGGTGCTGACCTGTTGTCCGTGATCCAGGGTGACATTGACAGGTGCTGACCTGTTGTCCGTGATCCAGGGTGACATTGACAGGTACTGACCTGTTGTCTGTGATCCAGGGTGACATTGACAAGTGCTGACCTGTTGTCTGTGATCCAGGGCGACAATGACCAACAAATTCACAATAATTGATTGCAAGATGTTTGTTAAAATGACATTGACATGGTCAATTGTTATGAAGTATTCTCGCAAGTGTATGCGTCATGAATTACTATTTCAATAACAAAACAATAATTGCACGCGTTCGACCTAACTTGGCCTCTGATGATCACCCTCACCGTTACTCTGCCGCACACTCAATGCAATAATGCCTGACCTCCTTGATGTAAAAATATTTTATATTCATGTCAATATAATAACCGTGGCCAAATTCCAAACACGTGAACGGCATGGTGGATTTGGCGAGGCACATGACCGGCATCGTCTTAACAAATGACTTGTAGGTGGCGAGCTCTTCGAACAATATGCCAATTTGTGCAGACGTACGAGCATCGCAAAGCCAGCTTCCCAAAAACCAGTATGATACCTTGTAAACTGCCAAATTACTCGAGCAGAACCTCAGCAGGGCCAGCATGCCCCCAGCTCGTCAGGGGCACTTGTTTCAAGCAGCATAGTTCTATTGCGGAGGCAGATCCAGTGGAGGGGGGGGGGGGGGGGGGGAGGGGAGGGAGACACTGGATGCACTTGCCCATCCTGTTCGGAATGTAAAGGTGCACCTTTAAAGATCACCCCAGGGTGCTGAAGGCACTCCTTCATGGGTAGTGGGGATGGTGACGGGGTTAGTAATGAAGGACTTCTCTTGACGGTCCGAAGCTTTTCATCTCAAGCCTTTGCGTACCTTATGGCCCAAGGTGAGTGAATTTTATTGCATCATTTAGCCACTCAGCAGTAACAATTTTAATCTGGCGGTGACAGCAGCTGCACTGCTCCACACGACAAACATGTATGTTTGTATCTGTGTAACGGTCGACAAGCAGCCACTTTAACGAACTCTGTTACAGGGTTTAGAGACCCAGCCATTTGGCCAAATTACACCACCTGTTCCAAGTTCTTTTTGTCCTTCGGTATTGACCACGACGCCTCCTCGTAAAACAGTGTTTCTTCATTTAGGCTGTGATATTTGCGTGACTAGGAAGTGGCGTGCAAAAATGTTGTTCTGAATTTGACGTCGTATCACAGTTTTAATGCGAGTATGCCATGCCATGAACCAATGCAATGAACTAGATAGTCATGACAAATAACACGCGCCCGGGTGGCCCGTTGGATACCCTTCGCTCGGGCGGGGGTCAATTTGACCGCCCTGATATCTCAGGAACTAAGAGAGCTAAGGACACCAAATTCACAGAGTGAGTTGACCTGTACATGAACTCAATTAGGTCAAAGGTTAAGGTTCCTAGGACATGATCTTTGGGTCAAATAAGGTCAGGAAACGTCAAATTCCAGGTTAGTTTCCAAGGGCCCCTAGAACCCTGATAATTGTTCTAAGCAAAAGGTCATATGCTCATCTAAAGTCAGTGACCTCGTTTAACGTTTTGAAGGTCATGGTGACCAAAATCATGCAAGGCTGCTGTTTTTCATCTGGATAAGCGACAAATATTACGCTAGGCAGTATGCTCCTAAAAACGTAGACCTGGGCTATTATAGGTCAATGACATACTCTGACCTCCAATAAATCCATGGAAGATATCGAATGCGGTTCCTGTTATAAATAAATTCGAAATGAGCGCCAGGAACTACCCCGTACAGCAAGCGCTAGAGTAAAAAAACAGGTTGGCTATGACCTTGGTCTGACCTTCATACCTGACCTTGGGTCGATTAAATTTGTTCAGTCAATTGTTGTATCGCCTAAGAAGTATCTCAGAGATGCATGACTTCATCTAGCACTCCGTTGTTGGATCAGATTGAATGATTCCCTAGAAATTGCCTTTGCTGAAACCATAGCCTGAATTTGACATGCCATAGGTCAGCAAACTCACAAAGTGCATGTCACTTTTTGATGCCAGACGATCCGCTTTTCAATTGTCTAGATTTGTGTTGAGTTTGGCGCGGCTACGCCGCACCGTTCCGAAACCATTCTGGAAAAGCCTTTGAGGGGTCAATTTGACCCCGCAGCCGAGCGTGTGATAGTGCTCAACAATGCTTAGTTATGTTTAGCAGCTCGTGATGAACAGTTCACATTGACCAATACTTGTCAGAGCTTAAGGCTAAAAGCAGACTGTTTTAGTCAGATGCATAAAAATGCGCTGTAAGCATGCAGGTGAGAACGAGTTTGTCGGAACTCTAGTGTAGACAATGGATGGTCTATTATTAGGATCGCCACATGCATGCCTGTTATCTAATTGTGGTTGAGCGCCCAGGGTGCGCGTACATTTGGGTTCAATGGGTGTGTGTCATGTTATGCAAGCCAGTGTAATTTCTATCAGCATAATAGAGTGATAAATGACCATCCTACAAAATATGTGCCTGAAGTGCCCGAGATTGCTTGTCATCGAATTTCTTTCTCTGCCGTACACGGCGAGGCATTTTTCCCTTCGCCGTCATAAAATTTTCCTTCATCCGGAATCGCTGAACTCCTCGCAATCGTAGAGCAACACGGCAATACGAAATTAGAGCAAACTGGTCACAGAATGCCAGATAAAGCTCATACTTTGCCCTTATAAGGCCCCGAAAAGCAAAGGAAGGTAAAAGCAATGCCACTGTTCAAATTCATCGTGTCATCTATTTATCTGCGTTTAGATTGGCTTGACTGCTTTATAGGTCACAGATGATATCTCTCGATGAAGATAGTCAGTAAAGAGACAGTTTACAGACATCGCCTTTCTTCGAACCAGTTGGCTGCAATGTGTAAAATGTTCGTGCAGACCCAGAGATCGTGGTGGCGGAGACTCAACTTCGGCAAGGCGCTGTGGTAATGCTGACCACATTCGTGATGCGGCGAAACGCATGGTGGTAAGTTTGCGTTCCAGAATAAGGGTTCGTATATGGCCCGTCAAAGAGGGTTTTTGCTTGACAGTGTGAGCCTGATCACAGGGCAGCCACAGTTGTGTAGTTGCATGGCATGGTAAAGATATTTCATGCTTATTTGATAAGGGACCGGAGGCAAAATGGATCCGCGCATTACAACAATGCGATGGTGGGTTCGGAGTGCTAGCAATAAGTTATGTTCAGTATAGCATCAGACCAAAAGTCCGCTCTAGCAAATACTCCGTAGTTTTTCTGATTTTGTAGTAGAACTGGGTCTATAATTTGAACCAACGATGCCATGCCAAAATGAAATTATGTTATCAGATTTTGTTGTCTTATGAGACCTTGCAACAAAACAATTCGGGAGTCAAGTCCAAGCAAAACAATGCTGACTCCTAGCACACCATGGATACACAAAGTCGCTTGGCATGAAAGAGCCAATGAGACGGGTGGATCAATGACGTCAGTATCACGTTTGGGTTGTGAGGAGAAAAGGCGTCTAGGCTTACATTTCACAGTCGAACTAAACAAGCTGTCGCATATAAGACAGTTCAGCCTCAGTGTCTAAAGTTCTCCCTTCATTTGACAACATGATTTTGAGGTCACGGGGTCAAGCTATCCCACCGCTCCTGTCATGCCCACGCCACCATGAGAACGCTTCAAAAAGATAGTCTTCGTGTGATGGTCAACTATCTCCTGCGCTTTTCTAATATTTCAGCCACAAATGTGGGGGCCTAAGCCAGCATTGCGGGGGGAGGGGGGCCAACTTAACATCGGGGAGGGGAAGGTCCTCACAAAACAATGCACCCGCGATGTAATGATGGATGCCCGTGGTGCACAGGACACAGTTGACTTAAGTCTCAGATTCAAATCAGACACAACAAGCTGCAAAATTCACTACATTTTGCCAGGCGTGTTATCTGCATTCATGTCATCTACAGTTTTTGAGACTTGTTGAACCGTTAGCGTCTTAAGGCACTGAATAGCGCCACAAGTTGGGTAATACTGGGCTAACGTGCCAAACGAGTCTTGTCATTCAATTTTGGGATAAATTCCAAAACTCACCTGAAATCGGAATGTCTGCCGAAATAAAGTGAATTTTTAAGGCTGATTGCATACCATTCGAATGTGAGATTGAATTCAAAAGTGTGCCGCATAATGTTTGGCAAAACGCGCAGATTCAGAGAGTATCTTTTGTCGATAAATGAAATTGGTAACTGAAATATGTTATCGATACCTGCGCACTTGTTCTGATTCATCTTGCTGTGACTTAAGGCCGAGATACCCAAGCTAAAAGTAGCACGAGACGGGCAAGAGCGGTAGCAAATTTGGAATGAATTTGGATTATGACCAATTACCAGAGTTTTTCATTTTCTGGCGTGGCTCAATGCGAAACGTTTCTTAGAAAACGAGCACCAGGTGGCTTGCATAAAACTTCAACTGCAACAGGCCGGCGCTTTGTGCATGTCTACGCTCCCTCTTTTCACAACCATTTGGCCTTACTTTGTCGCCACTGCGTTGCTAGACAACATCTCAAGTGGGTTGACATCTTGTTGACATACCAAACGAACCATGCCATCAAACATGTTGAGCGGCGCTGTGGTCAGCCCCCTGGCGGCCCCCAAGGGGACCAAGATGGCTTGTGAACTCTGCCAGAAGCCTGCCCTGCTGCTGTGCACTGGCTGCCGCTGCGCGTACTACTGCTGGTAAGATGGCGTGTGAACTCTGCCAGAAGCCTGCCCTGCTGCTGTGCACTGGCTGCCGCTGCGCGCATAACTGCTGGTAAGATGGCTTGTGAACTCTGCCAGAAGCCTGCCCTGCTGCTGTGCACTGGCTGCCGCTGCGCGTACTACTGCTGGTAAGCGCGCCGTGGGAATTATTTCGTTTTGTGGAGGGGGCTCATTATCTAATTTGTTCAGTGCATTAGCGAGGAACATTGTTCACATAGATAAGACAGTAGTATTAGCCTTATTCCTCGAGGAAAATCCAGGAAAATGGAGATATAGTTGGGTCGATGTTTCGGTAACATGCCTTTATTGAAACAATAACACTTCTGCTCTTGTTTCGATAAAGAGATGTTACCGAAACATCAACCCAGCTATATCTTCATTCCCCTGGTTTTTATCCGAGGAATAAGGCTAATACTACTTTCTTATCTATGGTAATCATTATCACCTTACGCGTTCGCCCACACGCTGCAGGCTGAAAAATGTAAAATGTAATGAAATTATAATTTTCAAATGCTCGTGTAATCTAATTACGGAAAAAATAAAAGCATGAATTGTGCAATTAAAAATATAAATAAAGACCATTCTAAGGCATCAATGTTTACTGAATACTATACTCGAGTGAGTCGCCGGAGGGGTTTCAGTCGCGGTGTGCTTTACGACTTGTGCTTACCACGCAGTGATGACCACCAGAAGACGGCCTGGGCATCGGTGCACTCCAAGGTGTGTCGACTGGTGGGGGCGCTGGGCAGCGCGCGCGCCTTCTGCACCCTGGAGGAGCGCCGGCAGCGCGACGAGACAGTCCGGCAGCAGAAGGTGGGGGGGGGGGGGGGGGGGAGACTCACTCCGACGGACACGGCGGGGCGAGGAGCCTCCGCCAGTGGCGCGGGGGTCAAACACCCCCTTACAGTGATAGCTGAGTCGAGCGTCTTTCAACAGCAACGGGTAAGTAAAATGTTTTTGACAGCACAGTGGAAAGTTCTTCCGAAGCGAGAAGACGGATCGAACGGGCTCCGGCAGCAAAACGTGGGTCAAGCATCCTCTGGCAGCAGAAATCAGATCAAGTACGCTCCGACAGCGGATGGTACTGAGCCAAACACGTACCGGCAGCAAACGCGAGTCGATCGCTCTTTGTCACCAGTCACGCGCGTGATTTTTCTACGCTCGCTCTTTTGACAAATATGGAGGCTCGTTTTGCTGCCACTGCGTAGATCAGAAATCCGGAGTAAATACCTCAGAAATCGATCTTTTCAGAATAAGGCTGAGTGTTTGAGTGGACTGATTAAATTGAGCGCGTTTTTATATATGTAAGGTGAAGTGACAATGTTGTATTGGGTACGAGTTCAGGCCTGGTACTCCCATAAACATGTTTGTAGCGAAGTCCTCGCGCATTTACTCACGACTGTTTGTTTCCTGGTGGTGTGGTGCTCGTTATGTCTAAACATCCGACTTACCTTGTTTTCACTGTTCTATACAGTATTTTACTGTTTTTGTACCTGTTACAGTTTGAAATGGACGTCTTACTTTCCGGGGTGAATTTCTCACTAACTTCTGTGGTTTTCTCAACTATTTCGGCGTTGTCAACCGCCGCGGTGTTAATATCTCGGGTGTTTTCAACCCCCCTCCCCCCCCCCAACGTAGCTGTGAACTGGTCCGGTGTGTTCCACCCTTCCGTAGTTCTGAACTGGTCCGGTGTTTTCCATCACTCTGCAGTTTTGAACTGGTCCGGTGTGTTCCACCCCTCCGTAGTTCCGAACTGGTCCGGCGTTTTCACCCCTCTGCAGTTCTGAACTGGTCCGGTGTTTTCCACCCCTCTGTAGTTCTGAACTGGTCCGATGTTTCCACCCCTCCGTGGTTCTGAACTGGTCCGGTGCTTCCACCCCTCTGTAGTTCTGAACTGGTCCGGTGTTTTCCACCCCTCTATAGTTTTGAACTGGTCCGGTGTCTCCACCCCTCCGCAGTTACGAACTGGTCCGGTGTTTTCCACCCCCCTGTAGTTACGAACTGGTCCGGTGTTTCCACCCTCTGTAGTTCTGAACTGGTCCGGTGTTTTCCACCCTACCGTAGTTCTGAACTTCTCCCTTGTCCTTCACTGGCCTGGTGTTCGGAGCCGCCGCGGTGTTCTGCTGTTGCGCCGTGTGTTAACGGCATTGGCCGCCGCCGCCCGCAGCTGCGGATCATGCAGACGTCGATCATGTGCGGCACGCGCCACATCTTCAGCGACCGACCCGGCCTCGCCATGCCCGCGGCGAAACAGGCGCTCACCATGGCGGCCGAGGTCAGGACACCATGGCGGCCGAGGTCAGGTCACCATGGCGGCTGAGGTCAGGTCACCGTGGCGGCCGGGGTCAGGTCACCATGGCGGCCGAGTTCAGGTCACCATGGCGGCCGAGGTCAGATCACCGTGGTGGCCGAGGTTAGGTCACCCTAGCGGCCTGGGTCAGGTCCCGGTACAGCCCCGTGGCAAGGCTCAGAACGGGGGAGGGCTGTGTGGACCGCGGCTGGGCGCGGCCATGGCGGTCGGCACAAGTTAGGGAAGAATAAGGGCTGGGACACGCTTGACAGAAATGCATTGTAGCAGGTATGGCTGTTCCCATGCGGAGTTTGCTTGACGTCGACATGCTTTTGCAGGCTTGCTATTGAAAAATGTTCGTTCTATCGCCGTTGCCACAGAAACTTTTCTCAACATATTTTCCACCTATAAGCAAGCGTAACTGCGGCGCTGGTGCTGAGCTGCGTTGCTCGAGCCGTGGTGCTGAAATGCCGAGCTGATGCTGAGCTGCGGTGCTAAGCTGAAGTGCTGGCGCCGCCAGGTGTTCGGCGCGTCCAGTGTGGAGTTGATCCGGCCGTTCCTGATGCTGGCGTCGGCCTGCGTCCTGCTGGGCGAGCTCAACAGCGCCGAAGGCTATCTGTCCCAGGTCAGAGGCCGTCCTGCTGGGCGAGCTCAACAGCGCCGAAGGCTATCTATCCCAGGTCAGAGGCCGTCCTGCTGGGCGAGCTCAACAGCGCCGAAGGCTATCTGTCTCAGGTCAGAGGCCGTCCTGCTGGGCGAGCTCAACAGCGCAGAAGGCTATCTGTCTCAGGTCAGAGGCCGTCCTGCTGGGCGAGCTCAACAGCGCTGAAGGCTGTCTGTTCCAGGTCAGATGCCGCCATGTTGAGCGAGATCAGTAACGCCCGAAGGCTTTCTGTCCCAGGTCAGAGGCCGCTGTGTTGAGCGAGCTCAACAGCGCCCAAGGCTTTCTGTCCCAGGTCAGAGGCCGCTGTGTTGAGCGAACTCAACAGCGCCCAAGGCTTTCTGTCCCAGGTCAGAGGCCGCTATGTTGAGCGAGCTCATCAGCGCCGAAGGCTATCTGTTCCAGGTCAGAGGCCACTATGTTGAGCGAGCTCATCAGCGCCGAAGGCTTTCTGCTCCAGGTCAGAGGCCGCTATGCTGAGCAAGCTCAACAGTGCAGAGGGCTTTCTGTCCCAGGTCAGAGGCCGCTGTGTTGAGCGAGCTCAACAGCGCCCAAGGCCTTCTGTCCCAGGTCAGATGCCGCCATGTTGAGCGAGATTAATAGCGCCCAAGGCCTTCTGTCCCAGGTCAGAGGCCGCTATGTTGAGCGAGATTAATAGCGCCGAAGGCTTTCTGTCCCAGGTCAGAGGCCGCCATGTTGAGCGAGATCAGTAGCGCCGAAGGCTTTCTGTCCCAGGTCAGAGGCTGCGGCGCGGACCGCGTCAGCGAGGCTTGCCATCGCGGCGGGCCACGTCCGCCAACGGTAAAGCAGTCATGGCAAGTGATGCATTCCCATTGGCTGGCGATGAGCCTTGGTTTCTGGCGGAGTGAGCTCCGAATGGTCACACGCTTGTGGCGTGCATGAAAACTTTCTGTGGACATTTTGCAAGCATGTGGCAATCTGGAATGCGCGTATGCGTCGAGATCACCCTGCTCCAACTCTGTGGTCATGATCCGTGCAGTTTTCGTGAAAATATGACGTCATTTCGTTCCTTTTCAAACCAAAACAGTCGATTCCATTGGACTCTTTGAGAACGCAACATGCCAGTTTGCAGCCCACCTGGGTCGTCAAAGACCATAGACGTGGGCTGCAAGTGCGGTACTAAACACATATGTTGCGAACGGCACACCAATGTGCACATAGAACAGAACAAGCGGAGCATTGTGCCGCTGAAAAATGTTCAATCTGCTATCTTGCTACTTATTTTCTTTCAACGGCTACGTCCAGGCTGTAAGATTGCGTTTGACTCGCAGTGAAGTCTAAATGGATTCTTTAACCGTCCAAATGTACGCAGTCAGACTGGAATTGCCTCCTCAATCGTTTGCTGTGAGACGGAGTTACAGTCGGTCCAGCCGAAACATCAGTGAGCCAACTGAAATAGAAGTATAGTGCGCCTATCGGGGTATAATGAATGTCTGATATATCATACGTGCACCAAATCGACTGGAGTCATCTGCGTAATAGTGATATTGAATAAACAAGAATAAATGCATGGACCGACTCATTTCCTGAGTTGCTGCCGGCGGAACGTGCTCAGCGCAACCGATTCCGAAAATAAGCGGTGGCTGTTTAGCCGCAAACGGCGTAGATCCAAAATTGCGTGGTGCCGTTCAGAATCAAAACCGTCACGCGCCGCGTGGTAGAGTCGAAATGGACTTCACTAAAACGAAGTCAAGCGCAAACGCGTATGCTCCCCTTCCTGAGCCTAGCCACCGAAGGCAGATACTCCGTCGCGGGCAGCCTCGAAGCCGGGATCTTGCCGTGGTGAGCCGCTGACGCGTGTGGCGGGCCCCACCTGACCGGAGCCGCCGTCTTGCAGGGGGAGTGGACTCTGATCTACGCCAAGAGCGAAGATCACGCCCTCCGGGCCTGGCTGTTCCGTGGATGGGGCCAGCTGTTGGCCGCCAGGCGGGAATGGGTGCAGGTATAGTTTGCTTGTCTTGCCAAAAGGTGGCCACGTGTGTCGTGTGAGCAAAACATGTTGCGGGCTCGAAATGCGCTGCGGGAATGAATTCTGTCCACGCCATCAAATTTAACCAATCTTTGAACCAGCAATACAGTGATTAATTTGTAGCCACGTTCCTTCATGACCTTCACGACGCTGATTTTCTATTTGCACTCACTGAAATTCACTTTTTGTAATCCCTGAAGTAATTTTGAGCCAGCTCAATTGATGCGGTGTCTTGACATTATCGCCACAGGCAGATTGCATTCCATTATTTTTCTGAACGCATTCTAAAAGACTGTGAAGTGTCGTGATGCATTCGAAAATCAGCGTAACGACAGGTGACGTGACAAGTCAACGCGGCAAGAGGTGACGTGACGACAAGCCAGCGTGACGAGAGGTGACGTGACTACATGTCAGCGTGACGAGAGGTGACGTGACTACATGTCAGCGTGGCGTGAGGTGACGGAACGACGAGACAGCGAGAGATGACGGAACGACGAGACATCGAGAGATGACGGAACGACGAGACATCGAGAGATGACGGGACTACACAGCGTGGCGTGAGGTGACAGAACGACGAGACAGCGTGGCGAGAGATGACGGGACTACACAGCGTGGCGTGAGGTGACAGAACGACGAGACAGCGTGGCGAGAGATGACGGGACTACACAGCGTGGCGTGAGGTGACAGAACGACGAGACAGCGTGGCGAGAGATGACGGGACTACACAGCGTGGCGTGAGGTGACAGAACGACGAGACAGCGTGGCGAGAGATGACGGGACTACACAGCGTGGCGTGAGGTGACAGAACGACGAGACAGCGTGGCGAGAGATGACGGGACTACACAGCGTGGCGTGAGGTGACAGAACGACGAGACAGCGTGGCGAGAGATGACGGGACTACACAGCGTGGCGTGAGGTGACAGAACGACGAGACAGCGTGGCGAGAGATGACGGGACTACACAGCGTGGCGTGAGGTGACAGAACGACGAGACAGCGTGGCGAGAGATGACGGGACTACACAGCGTGGCGTGAGGTGACAGAACGACGAGACAGCGTGGCGAGAGATGACGGGACTACACAGCGTGGCGTGAGGTGACAGAACGGCGAGACAGCGTGGCGAGAGATGACAGGACTACACAGCGTGGCGTGAGGTGACAGAACGACGCGACAGCGTGGCGAGAGATGACGGGACGACGAGACAGCGAGAGGTGACACGACGACGAGACAGCGTGACGACTTTTTAACGGGCCGGCACCTGTCATGGAGCGTCAGAGCCCGACCGCACGGGACCTCTGACCTGACCTTTGACCTGACCTCTGGCCTCTGACGGGTGTCTTGTCTTGGATTAGGGTGCATTGCCTCCGGGGCTCAAGCGTACTGACGGATGGAAGTCTGCTGCCGCGCCACAGCTCGTGCCGCCGACTTCTGGTGCGTCAGATCTGCTCATGTCACCGGCAGGCGAAGTGGTGCTGCGCCGAGGACGTCCACCACTGCGCCGAGGCGTTTGGGCCGCAGGACGTGCGGTGCACTCTGGGCTACTTCCGCCTGGCGGAATCTTTGCTACAGATGGAGAAGTTTGACATCGTCTCCTCGCTTTTTCGCCAGATTGTGACCATCTGGCAGCAGTACTTCTACGGCGGTGAGCGTAGTGGCGTTGCTGCTGTGACGGTCCGATGCCGGTGCGATCAGAGCAGAGCAGCCAGGGCATTGTGCATGCTGCCCGCATCTGCACGCCAGTCAATTAGCAATCAAATGCATGCGTGATTTCGTCCAGAAACTTGAAATGAGGGTGTGGCACTGTGGGAGTTTGAAAAAGCGGGAGATATGGAAAATCTTGCTCTCTGTGTGTGTGTTGGAATATTCTATGAGTTTTCGACCAAAATTTTTGTCTATGTTGAGCCTTTAATGAATTTTCAACAACTGGGGACAGCCAAGGGCCGGTGCTTCCAGCTATCGACTCCAGGCACTTGAAACTACTTGGCAAGCGAACGGCTCGAAGTCATAGGTAACCGCCTGGTGATAAGAAAGATTTACTGGCTAAACACATTATAAGCCTATACACCATCGCGTGGCTTCCTTGCAGTGGAATGGACACTTTCCATTCGTTAATTTACTTACAAAGAGCAACGCTGCCTTCAGATGTCATATTCATTAAGCTCTTAACCTGACCAAAATTCGACAGTATTAGCCGACACTATTGCATATTAGGCGTTTAACTTTGTGCGCGGCCATTGATTCGCCTTTTTGTTTTCTATCTTCGATAAGTGACCTTACTTCAGCAGTCTTATCTGATTGTTGTGCGCTTTTAGAGAGAGACAAACTGCTCTCGGGGTACCGAAGTGCTGAGCTGCTCGAAGAACGAGCATCAAAAGAAACCAGTAGTGGTTCCAGCAAGACGACATGCTGCCAAGGGAAACAGCGGGGGGGGGGGGAGGGGCTCAGAACCGGCTTCGAAGAGAAGGGTGTTAGTCGGGACTTTTATGTGTAGTGGTCTCCGCATTCCCTGGCCTTGAGTGCACCCGATTCGTACAGTTGGGGATACTTGGGGGACACTTGGGGCGCGATAATAATCTGATGATCTAAAGCCGTTCTAGCCCAAGCTGGGCAGTTCATATCAAACGCAGATGTGCAATATAACCTTGCACACCACCAGAACAGCCTGGCCATGTCTATATGCATATGAAAACTAGCTGAGTACACTATTGTTAGGCGCGCGTGTTGCAGTCAGCGGTTTTTCTACTATTCAAGTTTCATCAGTATTTTCCTTACTGGGCACTTCGCGCCGTTTTTCATTCAGCTACTTCAGCTTTTGGGGCCACAATTCTATCGCCGCTTTACAGCTTAGCGATATTATCCGGCATACATAAGTAAATATTAGAAAGGAGTAGATGGAACAGTGAGGGAAAGCTGCAAGACAGACAGCGGATTCTGACCAATTGTATAAACATAGGTATGAAAAAGCTGTACACAAACCTCCAAAGAAGCTATTCCTTTTCTCACTGGTGATGCCTGTCACACATTCAGGCATTCGCAAATAAAAATAAAAGTCAAAACAACGTGTTGAATCTTTTGTTAATAATGCATTGCGTCGAACAACAAAAGCCCTTGGTAATACGATCTGAAAATGTTTCAGGTAACGAACCCCTTGTTTGCAAGATGCACAGAGCGGTTAGAAAAATAGCGCGCCTCCCAATTCAGGTTGTGCGTAATATTCAATTGATTTCCGATAGGTTGGTAGGTTAGAGCGCCTGCCTTCCGATCCACCCACCCGTGGCGGGGTGGATTCGAGTCGCTTTAGGCGCTCGCTATTTGCCCTTGACTGGAATAGCCTGGGGCCGGTGGCAGCAGCCGTGCTTAGGGTCACTTGACGTCAGAGAGTGTGATGGACCGTGCAAGCATTGCGGTGCGTTAAGCATTCGCCACTTAATTCTGCCGCTGACCTGGAATTTCACGATCGAACGTGACGGGTCACGGGTAACGGGTAACGGGTCACGGTACACAACAAGCGCTGCTTAGCGTGGGCTCTGGTCCCCAAAATCCATCAGGTCCACAACAAGCGCTGCTTAGCGTGAGCTCTGGTCCCCAAAATCCATCCATTCAGAAGGTTCGGAGTGACTGTTTGGAATATTAGGGAATAAGACTCTAATAAATGAAAATTGTCCGCTTCTGGTGAGCCGGTCAGCTCAGGTCAAAAGACAAAATATGCGCAACTGCGCCATATTAAGAAACCAATATAAGTGGGGCCGGGGTAGGGCGGTGGAAACACGGCATATTTGTGCCCCATCCCACAGTTTTTTTTTCCAAAATCGTCTTGGGCAGAAGTGTACAAGTGTGCCAAACTTTTCGACCATGTTTGCGTAGGCCAAGCGGTCCTGATCACGCTAAAATGGTTCGGTGATCCTTAGCGCCACAAGTGACGTCATCATCACGTCGCTGAAGTGCAAGTTACGATTGTTTGATACCAATTATCAAAATGATCCATGACGCTCCAAAATTGCCAAAGAAAGAGGACATTTGAGCCCCGTAGACGGTCACGACCAGGCTCACGCCATGCATTCAGATTCCGAAGCGTACCGTTTGATGGCTCGACAGCCAGTCATGACAATGTTTGCACACAGGTCTCTGGAAGCATTCATTGCCGGCTGTCATAATGACCCGCGCTCACACCCATGCGATTCCCGTTAGTTGCCGAGTCGTAAGGGGACGATTTCACTTCACTGTGATTTTGTGTTGTTGAGACAGGAAGGGTGATGATTTCACTTCGCTATAATATTGTGTTGTTGAGGCAGGAAAGGTGATGACTTCACTTCACTTAAATATTGTGTTGTTGAGACAGGAAAGGTGCTGATTTCACACACCGAAAAGGTGATTTTTTCGCTTCACTATGATATTGTCTTGTTGAGGCAGGAAATCGTTTTACGTCCGCCATTGACCGATTTTCGGGAAAGCCGCAAATTTCGTGGTTCCTGTGTTAAGCCAGCGTGTAGCGTTGACGCGTTGTCACTTGGCGGCGAGCACCGTTACATGGTACCAAGATGCCGAGTTGTATTCGGCCCGTGAGTTCATCGACCTATGAAAGCTATAAGCGCCCATAAATCTTAATTGAAAGTTACACAGCCCGTTACCCTCTCAGCGTCTTTTGTAATCTGCAATAGGGACTGGAGGCAGTGCTTGTGCAATACACAAATCGGGTCGAAAAATAAGTTACGCAAGGTAAAATTTGCATGTCATGCTTGAGTTGCTTTTAAAAAAAACACGGTGCGATGTAGGGGTTCTTGGTAAACCTGATGCATATAAAGAAGCCGTGATAAACATTTAAACTATTTTCTTATGCAGAAACAAGCTAATGCAGACACTACAATATAGAAACAGTACTTAGGGGAGCACTTGGAGGTCGTTAAAAGGCCTTCATCAAAATGCAGGCAAAATGGCAGTGTTCAGAATATGCGCAAGTGAGCCATACTACAAATCAGAGGTGCAAGAAGGATGATCATGATCACACCAACACTGTGTTTCCATTGAGAGATATGTTCTTCATGATATTTGTTCCTGCCAAAGCTGCTTACGCGACCAATTTGCAAAAGAAACGCATGGCTGGGGTAGCCTGTCATCAGAGCCCGAAAAGCTTAGAAATGTTTTTGAGGTCCTTAGCTAATGGTAGCAGCATGTCCGAACGGAGAAAACATGTTCGTCAAGGCCATATTTTTGGGAAGCGTATATCCAATGTGAGACTAAGCATGTTTGTTGTCTACAGATGGACAGAGATAGGAAGCTTGGAGACTTGGTTTTTTCCCAGGAATTGAAGGCAGTGTTTTGGTCCTCCAACAATGGCAACTTTTCCTTTTATAAAATGAAAATCGCTCTGCATTATCGGTTTGGTTTTATGCCGATGAATATCTGTGTGTTCAGTTTAGAGAATTGTTCAGCTCTTAAAGCTCTTTCAGCTGCTGTTAAATGCCTTTTCGCCTGTTGCTTTGTATCTATTGAAAAATGATAAAAAGGTATGTTAATCTGTCATCCGCAGTGTTTGTGTTTCGGACGTTCAGTTATCTTCATTTCACGTCTCCCCCTCTCTTTCTCTCGCTCTCTCTGTCCTTACTTTATTAAAATCACATGCACCACCCACGAGCTCTGATCTCGCGCACTCCCCGGAACAGGAGCAGCATCTGCTCTCTGGGGCATGGGCTCAGACCTCGCGCAGTCCCCAGAACAGGAGCAGCATCTGCTCTCTGGGGCATGGGCTCAGACCTCGCGCAGTCGCCGGAACAGGAGCAACATCTGCTCTCTGGGGCATGGGCTCAGACCTCGCGCAGTCGCCGGAACAGGAGCAACATCTGCCCTCTGGGGCATGGGCTCAGACCTCGCGCAGTCGCCGGAACAGGAGCAACATCTGCTCTCTGGGGCATGGGCCCACCGCACCATAGCGTTACATCGTCAGAGATTACCGCTCTTCGTGCGTTGGATATGTTCAGGAATTAGTAAGCCATTCATGGACTGAACTGGATGCGCCAAGAAAATATCAAAGGGCCTGGAATGGGATGTCATTTGATTCGAGAACTGTGGGACCCACATGAGCTGGACCGCCTATGACAGCATGTCTCTACATTTATATGTTGTTCTCAGTGGTTAAGTAATCCCCCATGGCCTGGGCTTGACTGCATTTGGAACATTGCAAAGGACGTGGACAGGGAATGGAATGAAACATTACTTGGTTTAATAAAATTTTGACGTACATTTAGGTTTGTTGATTTGAAGGAAAGATGAATCAACGCATATCTTACATCGTTTGGGTGTAAATGGAAGCCAGCTTGGTAACAACCAGGTACCATCCAGCTTAAGCGCAGCTTGGCGAAGTGGCTCACTCACTGGGCGCCTGTTCCAGCAGAAGTGGAGGAGGGAGAGGTGCCCCACCGGCTGTCGGACCCGGAGGTCATCGAGGCCCTGCACGTGCTGACCTTGATACGAAAGTCCTTCACCTCCACGGGGGATGACGCCGCAGCCGGCTCGTCGCTGGCCGCAGTGAGGTGGGTCGGTCACGGTGAGGTCACGGCCAGGTCACGAAGAGGATACGGTGAGGTGACGGAGAGATCACGGAGAGGTCATGGCGAGGTCACGGCGAGCGGTGTAACCCCTGCCAGAGAACGACTGTGGCGCGGGCGGGCTGGGACGAAACCAACTTGATAACACCAATTTCAATCGGTCCTGTCTTGGGTCACCTGACCTGTTTCCTGCTTACGGCTACATTGTCGTGGCCGGCGTCTGGGCATGCGCATGAGATAACTTTCCAAGCCGAAGGCAGCACTGGTTAGCTTTTATCAGGAGCCCCTCGTGGTGGGACGATTAGTGAAGCAACGGGAGCACATGTGCAGCAAACCGTTTCCGAGTGCTTTGAGTAAGCTCTGGAGGCCCTGGGGCTGCTGGCTGGCAGGAGGGGTGGATTGGGAAGGACGGGGGGGGGGGGGGGGGGGAGATCAGCCCGGCGGCTGGTCAGAGCGCGCTCCAGGTGGTATGATGCCCTGGGCATGGGCTCGGACCGGCAGCGGCAACGAACCGAGCGGCCGCCGTCCTGCAGCCGTGCCCTGCCGGGGACGGGACGACACTGTCCTGTGAGGCTCACCCGGGAGAGGTGTACCACAGTCGGCGGGCAGGCTCTCGTGCTCTGCCGAGGACGGGACGACACTGTCCTGTGAGGCTCACCCAGGAGAGGTGTGCCACAGTCGGCGGGCAGGCTCTCGTGCTCTGCCGGGGACGGGACGACACTGTCCTGTGAGGCCCACCCGGGAGAGGTGTACCACAGTCGGTGGGCAGGCTCTCGTGCTCTGCCGAGGACGGGACGACACTGTCCTGTGAGGCCCACCCGGGAGAGGTGTACCACAGTCGGTGGGCAGGCTCTCGTGCTCTGCCGAGGACGGGACGACACTGTCCTGTGAGGCCCACCCGGGAGAGGTGTACCACAGTCGGCGGGCAGGCTATCGTGCCCTGCCGGGGACGGGACGACACTCCTGTGAGGCTCACCCGGGAGAGGTGTACCACAGTCGGCGGGCTGGCTCTCGTGCTCTGCCGGATGCGGGACGACACTGTTCTGTGAGGCTCACCCGGGAGAGGTGTACCACAGTCGGTGGGCTGGCTCTGAGCACGAGGGGAAAATTAGTTATGAAGGTTATGGCAAACATCATTGGAATTAGAGGAAAGGAGACGACTGGTTTGTTGGCGTAATTTTGTGGTAGGCTCGACCTTTTCCATTGATCAACCCCAATTCGTGTTGCATAACTATACTCCTCAATTAAAGATTCTAGATCTCGTTATCAGAAGAAAAGTGGGAACTATGAACCAACCCTGGGAATCAAAGCTGGTCCACGGTCTGTCAGGACGGGGATAAAAAAACAAAAGCCATGACTCGCGATGGTTGCCGTCTCTGAATGCGACGGGCGCCGCCGCTGGACGCCGCCGCCGCCGCGACCGCCTCCGCCCGCCGCGGCCGCCTCCGCCCGCCGGGCGTGGGCAGAGACCAGCAGGGTGCCTGTAACAGATCAGGCATGCTGTGGCCCCCGAACAACTGGCACATGGCTCGGTCATGAAGGTGTGAGGGCTAGCTGCCACCGGCAGCTGCCGCCCGGCATGGCACATGGCTCGGTCGTGAAGGTGCGAGGGCTGGCTGCCGCCGACAGCTGCCGCCCGGCATGGCACATGGCTCGGTCGTGAAGGTGTGAGGGCTGGCTGCCGCCGACACCTGCCGCCCGGCAAGTGCGGGAGGGCAGTAGTAGAGGACACGGGCATGACATGTAGCAAAACTCATTGGATCGAAGGACGCAGTTGAGTGTGTCCGGATGACATCTTCCTGAAGGCGTCATCAGGCGTATGCCAGCTGTCAAATTCTGATAAATATCCTGTTATAACACGCGCCCGGGTGGCCGGTTGAATACCCGTCGCCCAGGTGGGGGTCAATTTGACGCCCTAAGATCTCAAAAACTAAGATCATTAGAAACACCAAATTCATAGGGTGGATTGACCTGTACATGAAATAACCTGTGCCAAAATTTGAGATTCCCAGGTCATGACCTTGGGATCAAATAAGGTCAAACAATGTCAAACTCAAGATTGGCGTCCCAAGTGTCCCAGTGCCTCTTCCGCAACCGCCGTGAACCTATAAACATATTCTAAGCTAAGGTCAGTGGTGTCCTGTTATTTTCAGCTACCTTTTTGACGTTTATTGGGTCAATGTGACCAAATACCTAGGATGTTGCTTCTATTTTGCCATTCAAACAAGCGTCAGGCAAAACACTGGGCAGCATGCTCCTGAAAAAAGAATAGTTGACCTGGGCCATTTAGCGCCAGTGAACTACTCTGAGCTCAAAAAGGTTAATGGAACGTGTAAGTGGCAGTCCCTGCCATTAATCGGTTGCAAATGAAGGCCAGAAACTAACCCATAAACCAATATTTTGAGTGAAAAGCAGGTTGCTTTTAACTTCGCTCGACCTTCATACCTGACTCTAGGTCAATAGAATTGGTTGTAATTCTAAATTCGACTCGTTTACTGCCTAAGAAGCTATGTCACATGTGTATGTCTTTGTCAAACACTCCGTTGTCTCACACATTAAGCGATTTCCTGGGAATGACCATGGCCGAGATCCACGACTTGACTTTGACCTGCCATAGGTCAGCGACCTTACAAGGTACATCTAATTTTGACATCAAAAGATTCACCATTCAGTTCTCTACAGGTATGCAAATTTTTCGCGCAGCTTCGTTGAGCCGTTCGAAAATGATTTGAGGGAAGACTTTGGGAGTCAGTTGACCCCCACCCGATCACGTTTTAAAGTATGTTGGCCCTTTGTCGCCACGGGCATCTCAATCGACCTCTATTAGGCTGAATGCTTGTCTTTTGGCTTCAATTCACGATCTTATGTGCATCCTTTTCGACAATTATAAGCGCAGTAGCCAGATTTAAGCAACGGAGCCGCATTGGAAACTTGTCCTTTGTAATCACGACACACTGGTACGTGTGGCTAGGCAAGCCCGCCGCCTCGCTGCTAAATTAAGCCCGTTTGTTTCATAAATTGCGCCCACGCTGCTAAAGTTGGCCCGCTCGCCGCCTCGAGCTAAATCAAGCCCGTTCGTTTCATAAATCGCGCTCACGCACGCCAGACACACCATAACTGGATGTGACGGCCATCGAACGTCGTATGGCCAAAGAGGGGACAGCATTTGCGTGGCGTGTCTGTGACATCACGCGTGCCAGGGTAGCCTTGAAGAGGTCTGCACGAGAGAGTCTGCGCAGCTTCGCGGGGGTCTAGCTCTGAAACCGGAGGGTGCTGTGTCTTATGAAGGTCTAGTGGATTACACTGAATCATGTTAACCTTCAAAATGGTTGCCTTAGCTCAAAACACCATGCAAATGTGGAACATTCCCTTTAATGCAACCTTCGGCCAGCGCTTCGCGTCTTTCGGGCCTTCAGGTCGGGTCACTGATCATCAGTCCCGAGGTGCGCTGTCAGCCGACGGCGGCCCCGCCGGACGGACCACAGATACAGTCCGGCTGCACTGATGCCGGTGGGCGTCGGGCTCAGCACGCCGACTTCCTCTTCACCTGGGCCGCTGCCGGCCGACCGGTCCCCATGGCATGTGAATGCTCTCTACCTGAACGTGCCCCTGCGCACAACATGGGGGGGGGGGGGGGCGTTCATAATTTTCACAGTTCAAAATGCCTACAGTTCAAAATGTCCACAGCCATTGTGTCCAACAGTTTATGATGTCCATAGTTCGTAACGTACACAGGTCATAACGTCCACAGCTAACAATGTCCTTGGTTCGTAAGGTCTCCCTGAAGGTGCCCTAGCGCACCGCGGACCCGTGCCGCCGCGTGCTGTGGCGTCACATCGTCCCGGGCGGGCCCATCCGCCGTTCCATGAGGGGAGGGCGGCGGTGCACCGGAGCGAACCGTGTTCAACACGCGCGACGATTCAGTGACCTCGCCCCGCAGCTGAGCGAGCCCACAGTCTTCCGCTGCGACGTCTTCTTTCACGTGCCGAACGGGGCCGATTGCAATGCTGACGATGAAGTGGCTTCGTCGATTCATTTTGCATGATCGGGCAGTTTACCGACGGCTATCTCCAGAGGAAGCGGCAGGTCTGAGATACTACCACGGGGCTGATACTGCCTCAGAAACCTCTTCTGAGCAAGAAAGACGCTACTGGAGAGGCGGGATTCGTACCCGGAAATGTGCCACGAAACTACGTGCGTACACTCGTGATGAGCATATCATAAGTTGTTTTTCTTCGGGATGTCTGCGGCGTTTGTCGAAATTGTCCTGATGTCATATGGAAGAATTCCCGAACTCTCGCCGAAGTGCCGATTTCGAGCTCTGCACGTCCTTGGTTATTGTTTTCCGACAGCAAGTCGATTACACTTATCCAAGGCCTTGTCCACTCCTCTGTTGTCATCGCCTACAGGAGGCGATATGCATCCATGCAGCGAAGAAAATCGTCAAGCTATTTCCCATTTCTCTTCACCAGTCTATGGTCCCGTTCCAGCACAACACCGAGCCGCTGACCACCAGTGTGATTGCCCTCACCTGCCAGTCACAGTTGACTCGACCGCCCGTCCTTGTCGTCCGCCGGGTCACGCGGTCAAGGTCGAGCCGCCGCACGGAGACGCGTTATGGTGTCAAACACAAACAGTTCTAAACATTCAACGTATATTACAACCACAAATCACGTTTTGTGCTACATAATACAGGGAGTTGAACATCGGTACTAGTTATTTTGGTAGTAAGACTAATCCAATAACTGAAGAATGCCGCCACAAACTGAATAAATGAATGCGTTGTCAACAAAATATGATTACGGCTTCATGTACAAAAACACCACGAGAAAGGCGTAATACGCACTCGAGAAATTTTGGATTCTGGAAACTCTGCACTCGTTAGCACGACACCTCTCGAGAAGTTTAAGTTCTACAAGTGAGTCAGACCATCCACTGGGACGGAAAATTCCACAAACAGTTTAGCAGTCCCTCCAATGTCATAAAACCTTCCATGAAGCAATCAAGCGATGACGTATTGAGGAGCATATTTACCAAAAAGTGAAATGTTGTTATCTAGAGCAGTCTTTTGCCCGTGACAGTGTACCATCAGCCACAAGTGAGCTAATTTAATCATATCTGATGCCTACTTGAGTGTCTTCAGGTGTGAAACATGCCTTTAAAGGGGCCCCGGTTCACAGGACCGGACCCTCAAATGCCTCTCAGAGGGGTCTGGGCACCGATCGGGGTGCCCTGAGTTGATGAGGGTCTCTGAGCTGACAAACGCGTCTTTGTCGGTCAGGCACCGCCAGCACCGAAAAGTCGGCTCAGTGTCGGTCCGAGCTCTGGGAGCCCATTTCCCAAGTACGGACAAGGCTGGTGAGCCATATTTCACTTGGTTGGGGATCCTGGAGCAATTGGGGGACTTTGTGTCGGTCGGGGAGCCACGTTGCATACCAGGGAGTCCTGTGTTGACAAGGGACGCCGAGGCGGCCAGGGGAACATTTGCTCTGGGGGGACACGGACGGGACCCCGAATGCCAGATGGCCTCTCGCTTTGGTTGGGGCCCTCCAACCAGGGACGAACGTATGCGAACTTAGGATGAGAGTCCACAATGAGATAATGGAAGGGCATTATACGAGTCCCGGTCCCCACACCGAGCGGGGCCTCCTCCGCACGTGAACCGAGGATCCGTCTATCCGAACTGGAGTCTCACTGTTCATTGTTGGATATTCTGCGGCGATAGGGGTATAATCCTGTCGGTGAAGACCCGTGCGTCGATCCCAGGGCCGACGCCTCGGCTCAGAGAGCCTACCGCACCAGGGAGGGGAAAAATGTGTCATGTATTCCTCTAAGGGCCTCCAGATGACCAGGTCACCCCTGTTCGTGCAGCCAGAATGGTAGATGGTAGGCATCCTGCGATGGGACAGAATGACCCCTCATACGCTGACACGGAAACGTAATGCGCCCGCTCCCCCCCCCCCCCCCCGCCCCCCCTCCTTGAGTGTGTTACCACTGAGTCTCCCTGCCCGGAAAGCCTGAGGGCGTGCGAGTTGAATTGACTACTGTAACAACTTACTTAAACGGGTTTTAAGACTATGCCTCCGCAATTTTTTATGAGCAAGAGCACCAATAACCGGGATTGTCTATCAAACCGGGATTGTCTATCAAGCAGTGCTGGCTGCTGCCGCTAACACCGGGCGGCGGATGCTGTTCAAAAATATTTTGAAATCAAGTCTTTCCACGCAGTGATTAGACTTTGGCATATCTTTCACCGGTACAATTTATAGATTATTCTCTGAAGAGATAAACAGTTACAGCAACACGGAAAATAGAGCTGTTCCCATTACTCTTCCACCACCAACACCAGTCTCAAAACCAGTCCGCATCGATATAAAATACTCATCCGCTACTTCGATAAACATGAGAACTGTGCGGGTGCACAATGCCCGGACCGCCTTCTAAACGTACCAGTTGGTGTATTAAAACTTTCAGAACTACTTCTTTCAGATACGTCATCGTTTTCGTCCGCCCATTGGCCGCGGCCTGGTATGAGCAGCAAGACCGACGCCGCACGGCTCATGGAGACTGCAGCGCGGGGCGACGGTCTAATGCGTTCACGACTCAGCTCCGACTGAAGGTCAAACATTCCATGACGGTCATGGCTTGGCCACGCCAATATCTTGAATCTT